TTTGTGGACTTCTGGGTCCCATCTTCGGACTTGATACAGGGTTGGTAAAGATAATAGGTTGTGCAAGGTTTGGTTGAAATATGACATTCCATTCGCCTGATATTGCATTTATAAATATTGGAAATTTTAACCATTCGTAGGGGAGGTACCAGAAAGAGTAGACCAATGGGTCCCATCTTTGGACATGTTCTAGACTTCGTAAATACAACGAGTTGTGCAAAGTTTGGTTCAAATCTGACATTCCATTCGCCTGATATTGGATTTACAAATATTTAAAATTTTGACCACTTGTGGGGGAGGTACCTGAAGGAGTGGAGCAATGGTTCCCATCTTCAGACTTCATCTAGGGTTGGTAACGATAATAGGTTGTTCAAGGTTTGGTTCAAATCTGACATTCCATTCGCCTGATATTGGATTTACTAATTTTGAAAATTTTTACTATTTGTGGGGGAGGGTCCCATCTTCCTACTTGATCTAGACTAGGTAAAGATAATAGGTTGTACAAAGTTTCATTAAAATCGGATAGTCGGTTTGCATGTTATTATAAAATTAATTTTTAGCACCATTTTTAACATTTTGTGGGCCGATATACCCCCTCTTCGAACTTTAACTAAGTTTGGAAGAAATATTAAGATGTGCCAAGTTTGAATGAAATCGGTTGCTACCTTCGAGAGCACCAGCCAGACGGACAACGAACGGATATGTGTAAATCGACTTCAAATTTTCTGAAACGGATTTGCCCATAAGGCTGGGCGTATAAAAATTACACATACTATGATAAATGCTATACGGCATGATGTATAGTGTATGGGACCCTTAAGAACAAAAATGTGTTAAGATAATACTTCTGTTTGTAATAGGTCTTGGATGTCCGGCAGACGTATCTGATATCCTTCCGGATGTGTCGTGGAGGATAATCCTGCATCACAACGAGATGGTTTGGATCACTTGGCAGATGACAGACCAGGAGGAACTGTCTAACAAGCAACACATAATCCTCTTCGCCTAATACACTTTCGACATCAAAACACTTCAAGTAGCAATACTCATGGCACTATTTTATACAACTTAGAGATTACCCTATTGGGAGTCTCCAAAAAGAAAGTGAAGACTGTGGCCGTATAACAAATGACTGAGCGACTTGAGCCACGCTATTAGAGTAACTTCGTGTAATGTGGACAACCACTTTCGTTTTTTGATATTGTGGGCGTAAAAACGGTAAAAAATAAAAACAAATTGTTTTTACAACATAGTAGATTTGTTTGCTAAATATATTCCAGGTCAAATAATATTTATATTTGCCTATAAAAATGTTATTGCATTATATTTCAAAAAACTCTAAACTGCGAATAAAAATATCTTGGCTGGTAATGTGGACCAGTATATGTGGGTAATGAGGATCAGTCAGTTCAAGGTAGTTTGTGGATTGGTTGTGATAAATTTCAATTTATTGCACTCTTGTGTAACAGTGAATGCAAAAATATATGGGTTTATGTTTTGGAATAGTCCCCATTTAAGGGTACCGCCCCATTTGTGGTATTTGAAGGTCCTTGCTTCATTATCCAACATAAGCATAAGCTGTAATTTCGCATATCGAGTTTTCAGAGGATAGAATATCTACTCGCATTGATGTTTGTTTTCACTAATTAGGAAAACATTTATCAAGGCGGCATTGACATATTTCAAGTATTTTCTTAGACGCCTGGTTCACAATACCCGAAGTTACTCTATTGTTTCCTATCGGCACATCCTACACTTTATGTATTTTTTCACTTTAATATACGCTGCAGGTTTGGTAAAATTCAGCAAGTTATTGAACAAGTTATAAGCAATACACCTTGCTTATAACTTGTTTCAATAACTTGCTGAATTTTACACATAATATTTTTATACTGTCTGAGGGACTGCGTCTGAGAGAATTCCATTCAAACCATCTTGATAGGCATGTTGATCTAGGAGATCTCTCTCTCTAGACCATGAGGATTTCTCCTGACGTTTCTGCCATAGTTTACCACTAACTGGTCATTTGCTTTATAAAAGGTCAACAAGGTTTCTTTGTCAGAGCCACAAGTACTGCCGTCTAGCCACTTGAGGACCTTGTTCCTGCTTCTGGGTTTATCCCTTAAAGCAGTGGCTTGAACAGACGACTTGGAGGAAATCTCAGCCGGTATGGTGGTCAAAAAACATAGCATCCTTGAGAAAAGCTGTTAGAAAACTTAGTACAGATTGAGACTTTTACAGAGAACAATTCAAAAGTGAAATCAAACGTGGGTCTTGGGTGTGCTATAGCGAACCAATCGAAGGAGTGAACGAAGCGGGTAGATTTCGCAGAGTAACATCTAAAGATCCCCAGGCCCAGATGACATTATACCGGCCATGCTGCAACACACGGATGAACGGGTATTAGTCATTCTGCAGGACACTTTTAGCGCTTGTCTGCTCTTATCGTACATACCTAGTCTATGGAATGAGGTAACAATGAACCGTATCCCGAAGGCCGGGAAGCCGATTCATACGCTATCTAAGGAATATAGACCGATTAGCCTCTCTTCCTTTCTGCTTAAGACTTTAGAAAGGTTACTAGACTCTGAAACCACAAGAAGGTGTATTATCTCCTCTTTTATGGCTTCTGGTCATAAATGAGATACTTCTGAAATTCGACCATCTTAAAATAAAGGTTGTAGCCTATGCCGATGATGTAGTCTTGCTAGTCGGTGGGAAGTTTCTAACGACCATTTCAGATATTACGAAGGGCGCCCATTCAACTCTGACCAACGTGGAATAGGAATGTTGAGGAACACTCTATGAAAGGACTAATAGCACTCTACTCCTGCAAGAACTCCATAGGAAGCTGGGGACTAAGACCAGAGATCATACACTGGTAGTACACTATGATGGTCGTACTCCCCATTCTTACATATGGGGGCAGGGGGTCAACAAAAAGATACTGCTGACTAAAATGAACTCAGTATAGCGGTCGGCTTCGAACCTGACTACCGGATCGCTAAGAAGCACACCACAGGCAGTCTTGAATGCGACCTTGAATCTCCAACCACTGCAACTCTGATTAAATTCCAGGCAGCTAGATGTGCCCTGAGGCTCAAATAAACCTGACTACCGGAGCGCTAAGAAGCACACCACAGGCAGTCTTGAATGCGATCTTGAATCTCCAACCACTGCAACTCTGATTAAATTCCAGGCTGCTAGATGTGCCCTGAGGCTCCGAGAAAAAGATGCCTGGAAGTCGCTGAACTATGGTCACACTAATATCCTCAACATAACGGCAGGTTGTGACTTCTTGAGGAGAAATACTCACATTAGTGATTATGTTCCCTCTCATAGAGACTTTAACGACATCAGAGTTGATTTTCCTAGTAGGGAATCCTGGTCTAGTGGCTCCGTACCTCTGCCAGGTCTGTCATTTTTCACAGACGGGTCAAAGATGAAGGAAGGTACTGGTGCAGGTGTTTCCTGCAAGGAACTAGTCATCTACAACTAATATAAACTTAACAATCTTTGTAGCGTTAACATTTATTGTCGACGTCATAGGACCGGTGACTATATATGTATGTCTATAGTCAGGCGACCCTTAAGGCAATTAAATCGCATACTATTAATTCAAACGCGGTTCGTGACTGCAAGGATGCTCTACATGATATGTATACGACATATAGTTTGATTATGTTGGGTTCCAGGACTCAGTAAGATAGAATTAGATAGCCGATGTGCTTACTCGAGGGGGTTCACAGTCGTCTAATCTACCGATTGAGGGATCTATACAACCTCCTATTGGCTACTTTATTGGCAAAATCTGTATGAGCTGCTGCGAGGTAGTCGGCAACAGATGGTCAACGGAATCTGGATGAAGGGTTTCGAAAACCATCTGGTCTAAATTCTCTCGCCGTAGAACTTCATCACTGATGTATCATAGTAAGAGGGAGATAAAAATCATTGTGGGGATCATACCAGGTCAATGCAGCAATAGATCTCTCACTTCCCATATGGGACATTACGGAGTGGATTATGGCCGTCTATGTGAGGATGAAGAAGAGCTGGAAACAATTGAACATTTACTCTGTAATGAAAAAAAATCACAAGATCAGAGATCCCTATTTCACTCTACGGTGTTTGGACTTCTTGTTTCTGAATTCCACATTTGACATACACATATATAGTTGATTATCCAACGTTTCAAAAACGTCCGGAGATTTGTCTTCTCTATGTCCTGGAACAGCTTTGCATGATTGACGGTATCGAAGACTGAAGATCAAGAGAAATACTATTTCTCATAGATGGGAGGAGTAGCCCCTCAAGTGTCTTTGCTGCAGGCTTCAGGAGTTAAATCGACATGTACGATTCACTCATGCTAGCGTCCTTGCCAGGCTTAATTAGTGGGACTACACTAACTTTTTTCTAAGCTTTTGGAACTATGTGAGTGGTTAACGACAAGCATCCCAACTCTTAGGGATGTTAATGTGTGTGTATGTCGCGAGATCTTGTGTACCTGCAGTGAGAAGAGTACCAAAGCAACTAAAATTGTCCAGTCTCAATGTCTGGATAAGACAGACAGCGCCTTAAGTTACACCAAACTAGGCATTGGATACGTTGTAACTGGACAAAGTTACGCGTTATTCTATTATGACACACGGAGCTGAAATTGACTTTGGTGGAAGTTGGTCCGGGATTCCGCTCAATACCAGTCACGATCAACATTGTTTTAAACAAATCGGCTGGAGTTGATTACTAACCTGGAGGAAACACTTGGTTTACAAAGCTGAGTTGACAATCCCACATCGAGCCATTCCGGAGCCTAGATCCCATAGCCAATTTACACAAAATACCTATTACCAATATAATTTTTAACAACTCAACTAGCAGATATGTCAAATATATTTATTTTATACGTTTTTTATTTATATACATTTGTACTCTCTATATAAATATAAAATCTACTTAAATAAAATCAAACAAACTTGAACACAAATTCATTACATTGACTCTCAACTATCTATAAAGGGATTTGATGAAGTTTCAGCTTGATTCCGATGCGTTCTCAAATGCTGTGTAACACCAATTCTATTTTTAAACATTTTACCACAAACGGGACAGGGATGATTTCGACTATCTTCGTGAATCGTTTCATGTGCTCGCATGGTTTTCTTAGTTTTAAAGGCTTTGCCGCAATTATTGCAAATGAAATTTCTTTCGTTCGAATGAGTTAGAAGATGCATATTCAGTCGGCGCTTGCTAAAGAACTCTTTGGAACAAATTGTACAATGCTCTTTACTTTCTGTATCGTGTCGTTTTTTGTGTTCCGTCAACGATGATGGCATCGTGAACGAGGCACCACATATTTCACAGAAATACGGTTTGATGCCATTGTGTCCACGCATGTGAGCCTTTAGGTCTACAACTTTTATAAATGTTTTACCGCAAATTTTACACATTTCACTGGTGTCGTTCATGTGTCGTCGAGCATGAAATGTATACGCCTGGACATTGGTATATGTTTTCGTACAGAGTGGGCATTTCAGCGGTTCCAGGCCATGTGCCAGTGCTTCGTGGACTTTCAACTGCAATGGGTTCTTGTGTTTCTTATTACACTCTGAACAAAAGAAAGGGCCAACGTGTTCATCTAAATATGTCATGTGTTCATAATACATCGATATGTCTTTGGATGAAGACTTCTGGTTTTGCATTTTGGATTTTTCGGTCGTAAAGTGGCCATGAATGCAATACAAATATTTCTTAAGAGCAATCTCATCCACCTGCAGTGACATTTCCTCCTTTAGGGTTTTTATCATTTGATTCAGAGCATCGTTCCGTTTATTGGTACAAACATTTTCCACTAAATTTGTATTCCATAAATGCGGAAACCTTTTATATATCTGTAGAATTTGTGTGATCTGTTTCGATTCTAATGATTTTCGTTGTGCACCAATTTCAACAATTGAATAATTATTCAAAAATGGTTCAAGAAATTGCATTTTATCGAAATACCATTGTGGAATTGTTCTACTCTTTAGTGTACCACCACGTTGCTCATTCGATTTGAGGCGGTTTAATTTAATAGCATAGCCATTTCGAATACGCCGTATGACAGCTGATACATAGCTACTGGTCATGTCGATATTTAAATTATTTTTGATATCATTAGAAATTTTTGACCAATAGATTTCACGTTCTTTGTTGGTTTTAAATTTTGACGGGTATTGTTTCCAATTCCATAGACGTGGCTGTTTTTTATATGCCTCTATAAATGCCATGAAGTTTTTCTCCGATTTTAAAAATTGGCGAACAAATAATTTTGTTTTATTATCTTCTGATTCCCACTGAAAGGAAATATAAAAGAATTTAGGATTTACTAAAGGAAAAACTATATTTATGAAATATCCGACTGTCTATTGGGTTTATGTTAAGGGGCTCATCTCGAAAGTTTCTAGTTTACAAGAATATTTGATGGCTTAGCCGAGTTTTTCTTTGTCCATAGAAGAAAGTACTAAATCCCCGACCAAAGGTCGTGTATTTTGGAAAATTTCTACCCATATTACCATCATCGTTTCATAGATGACGATATTATGAGCATATGAATTCACGAACTTCAGAAGCCCATATCTCGGGAAGTAAGGACATACCCATAAGCCATATATTAAAAAAAAAAATAAACCTGAGATATGCCCCTCAACTCAATCTGATCCAGATTCATTCCGTCCGATATAGGTAATTCATTAAAAAATATAAATCATTGCAGCCTTTGTATTTTATTTCTACATATTATTTTCATATTTACCTCATCTTCTGATTCGGAACAAATATACTCATTGTCTTCTTCATTTAGCTGATCTTCCATTTCCTTGCCCAATGATTGCTCTAGAGGGTCCTGCAAAATAACATTGTTTACAATAAATATAAAACATGATCTTATTCCATAAAACTTACCATCTCATCATCATCTGCAGCCATATCTTCACTTTCAAATCCTTTAAAACCTTCCCCATCATCTATTTCATCTTTTATACAATTATCAACAGGTAATTCCTTTGAATGTTGAGGTGAACTATTTGATTTTATATCCACAACATCTGTTTCGTTTTCACAATCGCCCTTTGGAGACTGTTTAACATGTCCATCAGCACAACCTTCTTCCACAATCTCTGTTTTGTTTTCACAGTCGCCCTTTGTAGACAGCTTAACATGTTTATCAGCACAACCTTTATCCGGTTGCTCTGACTTGACCGACAAAGGTGAATAGATTTCCAAATATTCTTCATTTTCCTCCTCTATCAATTCAGCTTGTGAACCATCCAATGTCTCATCGTTATGATTCGACTGATGATGAACAATGAACTCATCGAGAGTGGAATAATAACCATTGCATTCGTTGCATTTTAGAAAATATTGATCTTTGGAAGATATTGAAGTTGATGCCAATATTTCTCCACATAGTATATATTCGATATAATCCTCCATTATTTGAAGCTAATAACAATGTTGTTGGAAAACCTCCTTTGCGCCCTTTTTGTCATGAATGAACCAACCATCAATTGAAAAACGTTCCACTTACAATGAATAGAGCAGCAAGGAGAAAATTGGCGATAATTACCAAACTCAAAACAAAATGGACGTTAAGAACTTTGTTTACGAATGAGGGTGATGCATAACGCCAATATCGTTTTGTTAAGATACGGACATGAGGGAATGAATCTCTGTGAAATGAACGGACGGAACGATATTCCCGTCGTGCAATGCACTGTAAAATGGTAGCCAATCGTGCTACTGCGTGAAATGTTGATTTGATTCCAACATAATACTCGTATCAATATTGTTACGAATATAACTTTAGATTTAAGTTAATTTAGATGAATTCCGTTAATTTAAGAATTTGAATTGTAACGTAAATTTCTACTACGCAGTTTATTTGAATAACTTCACAACAACAACCACTGTATAGATTTTTCTACATCCTTCCATTTCCTCTTTCATTTTCTACTTTGTTATTGTCGTACAATTCTTGTTAAACGTCATTCCTCTTTCTTTGTTATTCCCTCGCCTGTATATGTGTTGTTGTTATTCCTCTTTCTTTGTTATTCCCTCGCCTGTATATGTGTTGTTGTTATTGTAAGTTTGTTTACTCAAGTTTGTTGTTGTTATTGTTCACTCAGTAAGTTTGTTGTTGTTATTGTTACTCAATGTGTTTGTTGCATTGGTAGATTGTTCGTGATCTAGGTGTTACCAGATCGTCTAGAAACTTCTGTAGCGACAGGCAGGGCTCATATAAATAGAGGGAGTGGAAAGGCAGTGAGTCAGTTGTGAATGAGATCGCGAATTGAAACCGTCGAGTAAAGTAAAGTGCAAAGTAAAGTTGTGTGAATAAAGTCATTGTAATAATCGTAATCCGAAAGAACCCGCGTTTTATTTGGTACGAATTGTATCGGGAAATAAAACAACGTCTACACGGGATTAAGCAAAATCCAAGAACGTAACAATATGAATATGACATATTATGTTTTTAAAAATGTCCCAACAGGAAAATTGGGTACGCATACAATTCGAAATTGTTCTTTATAAAAAATGTCCTCCCGTATACAATTTTTCTTCATGGATTAACTCGCAATTTCTAGCAATGACTCAATTAGAGGAAAGATATGGAAACGATAGAAATATAAATTTGATAGATCTTCATTTTGAGGATTCCAAAATATTTTATTTTGAAATAAATAACATTTTTGATAAATTATGTTTTGTTCACATTTTTTGGTTAAATGGCATTGGCACTATTATTACAACAACAAATTTCCATGTGGTTGTTGTATCGTTTGTTGTACAACAACACTTTTTGCCATGGTACAATAATAAGAGGTAGAATAATGGTAACTCCTGATTACAAATTTTTCTTTTGTGTGCTACTGTTCTGTCAAAATAATAACTCAATTTTTATATGCGAATGTAATGTTTTGAAAAGGACAAAAACATAAAATATTTTAAAATTCAGATTTAACTTAGGGCTGCTACAACAACAACGGTTAATTAATTTCGACAAGTAAGCCTAACTCTTGTTATTGTACCATGCTTGCTGTTACCTTATACCATGATAAAATATAAATGATCGACGGAGAATTTTCGAAAAAATTCATATTGTATTTGAAGTTAACGAGCCTGTTTTAGAAGTTGAATATAACATGGTTCAATAACAAGAAATAGGTTTATAATATTTGTTGATTACAATATTTTCCTGTGGCGCCCCTTTTCTGTCCAATAAAATCAATTAATATATGGTCTGTTCCAAGGTGTATTTAATAAGGTGTATGCATCAGATACAACAACAAATATTTTACAAAAACAACATTGTTGTTATAGAAATTAAATTGTCATGCTGACAATAGGTTTTTGACAAAAATAAACAAAAACAATTATTAATTTATTTTTGCCAAGGATATTTTGTGGAATAATCAATGAATTTGTGTATTCTTGGGTTATTGGTGGTTTTAGGTCAGTGAAAAATATAGTTTACGACCTGGTCGCGATTAATTTAAGTTTCCTACATGCAGCCCATGGCTCCTTGTGATCTTGCTATATTGTGAATTACAATCCATTTTTTCTATGGAGTGGCTTCAAATCTTGCCTTCTTAAAGAAAATTGAAGGGACATAAATCCCTGGCCAAAGACTAAATCATGGAAATCGTGTTGACCGTATAAAATGTTTCCATAGGCGTATTTAACCCCCGCCAGACAGATTTCCACATATAACATAAAAGATGTGTATCAATCGGCGAACGTTGTTATACCTGATTTAAGATTAGGTTATTTTTTCCGCCCGCCTATATGAATGTAGTTTTCTTGAATTTTTATTATTAAAAAGCATACATTTAAAGACCATTTTTGAAATCGAAATGTTGTTGAAAATGTTTTTGACAATTTGCTTTACCAACAATAAAGAAAAAAGTTTGAAACCATATGATTGTCACTTACACCTTATTAAATACACCTTGGTCTGTTCCAGAGTACAAAATAATTTGAAAACTCGAGAAATTTAGCCAAGTAAAAATGGTAAGCTGGCTGTTATGTTGATTTTGAAGTATTGTCATCTAATTTTGGCATATTTACTAGATTTTCGTTCCCGAACTTTTGAAATTATTTTGAACTCTGAGAGCGATTTTGAAATGTTTCCTTTTTACTAGCTTTTGGTCTGTTCCCGTATTGCAAGAATCTATTAATTTTTACTACGATAACGAATTTTCCTTTATGATATCGGAGAAAATAGTAAAATTTAGTAGATTCTTGCTGTACGGAACAGACCATTTAATATTAAAAAAGTACTGGGACAGACCATATATGTTTATTTCTTGAAAAATACAAAAAAAATATATATGTATATATTCAAATTCAGTTGTAATTAAAATTTAAAATTACAGCATTTGAAAGTAAAATTATTTAGTGTTATGGAAAGAAATATTATTACAATTATGGTACAATTACTTAAGTTAGTCCATAGCAACTCATAAATTAAAAATTTTTTCATATTATGTCTTGTTATTCCAATGTCGTATACAAATAGTGTGATAATGTATGTAATGTTTTGAAAAATATAAAAAATATGTTCTAAAATCCATTTTTTGAGATGAATTGTACAACTTTGGGAAGAAGAAATTTATGATTTGTTAATGATTCAATATCTAAATCATTCTTTAGCATATACTTTGTAAAGGATCAAACATTTCATAATATTCTCTTCTGGATTTTTGGAAGAAATCACATTTTTCTATTAATTTTTTTCATTTAATCGTTATTACTAAAACTTTAAAATACTTAGTACGAACTAAAAATCAAATAATATGCGCGATTGCACCACATAATCACCAATTTAGGAAAAAAATAGAAATTTCTTCAGAAAACACAAGTGCAGGTAATGTGGTATACCTTGAGTCTGCATGAAAAAAGCCAGCAGTAGGCAAAATCTCATTACTATTTGAAACATTTGTACTCTACGAGAGTATACCATGAATCACAAGGATGAAAAACAAAGGCTATGAGTTTTAACAACTTCTGCATACAAAAATTAAATATTGCCATGTGTAGACATTATTATGTAATAAAAATTAAAGTTCCACTTAACGTATCCGTTAAAAATCTTAACAGACAAATCTCGAGCTAATTCGCATTCATTAAAAACAATAAATTATATAACATATAAATTGGAAGTGAAAATTATACTATACCACATTAACATCATGTGGTATACCACATTACCTACACTTTTTTTAAAATCACTTTTAATGGAATTTTAAATATTTTCTCAAATATCTCTTAAATAGTTAGAATAATATTATTTTCAAATTGATACATGGAAAGACATCACATGTAGCACCTTAAGTGTAAAATTTCAATTTAATCGGATAATAAATAACAATTTGGCAATCTAAAAACAAATATACCACATTTGCTTCACCTCCTATAGTTTGAGAAAAAATGTCACATTAGCACAACCATTAATTGCGTATCCTTTTTATATTTGACAGAAGAAGCCACTATCTACAGAGTTGTTTTTTTATCATTCACCTCATTCCCTCCTGTCTTGCAGTGAGTTTAAATTGTCAATTATATAAACCTTCTATAACAATTTTACACAATGGCACGATGAGCAATCATTTCACAGTGAATATCACAACAGAAAAATCTTTCCGACCGTTCATTTACAATGACTATTTGGAATATATAAAATGTGGAGAAATACTATTGTCCCCGTCATTGGACTACAAAGACCAGTACATATTGAAATGTATAGAATGTGAGGATTGTTATACAGAAATGGACATGTTGATAGAGCATTGTTTGGGCCACTATCAACAAAACATTGCAGAGCTCGATGAGAAGTCCTCGGTCTCGGCACTAATAGATGACATGTTTGTTGGCGAGGAGAACAATGGTGAGGAGGTGGAGGAAAAAGTGACTGTAAAATATGAAATTTTATCCGAAATGGAACTAGATGAAATGGTAAGTGGAACGAACGATTCTATGGTAAATATATCATTACGATGGATACCATGAATAACTATGTATTTCTAGGATACCATATCAGTAATTGATACTGCAGAGGAATATCTCGATGAGAAAATTGAAGCTCTTAATAGTTCCAAAGAAGAACCAGATGATGAGGAAGGAATGGAAAAGGAAATTGATGAAAATCAAGCCGACGAAGAAGAATGTATGCTCGAATTGGACCAGTCTGAAGATGAAGTAGGTATCATATAATCAGATTGTTTTACTATAATTTTTGAAATGTTCTTTTTTTTCTCAGGATAACGACGGTGAAGATAGCAAAACATCAATGTTTGTTCGTAATTTCATGAGTATTAAATTGAATGTAACCACAATAATAGCTGCCTATAAGAAACAACCATATTTGTGGAACAGTAACAATCCACCCGAAGTACGGGCCAAAGAACGTCCGAAATGTTTACAGAAAATTGCCG